CCTACCTACCTACCTACCTACACATGTATCTGTAGATGCATAAACGCATAAAAATCTTGCTTACATATGCGCGCAGGGACCTGCAACTACAAAGGTATTTACGGAGATTGTTATCTCTCTCACTCTGCCCGTCTTGTTTGTGATTGTCAATTTGCATGAATTTGCTCAGGGCAGATCCTGCTTTGCGCGCTCACCCTCGGACTCGTAAGGTCCGCTAGGTGAGGCTCATGGCGTGTCGTCCGCTTTGTGAAAAAGGAGGCAGCACGGTAGCGTGCAGGAAAGACTCGTGATAGGTCATGAACCCTAAATCCGCAGCCCTAAAACCCGGTTCATGCAAGATGCAGCTCATGTTCGGCTTCGGGTCATTGGTGATGTAAGCCGTCCAAATGACTCGTACTTGGCCTTCTGAGCCAAGCACCAAAATGAACCTGAGATGTTTATCGAGGTCTTTTCCCACCCGGGTTTGCGGGTTTTCGGATCTTGGGCCAAGCATGGTACAAGAAACAGACCTTTGTTTCCGATTGCAAGCAAGTCTTGCTCTGGCTTCTGCACTCTGCCCGCGGTGCTCGTGATTTTCAGCTTCAGACTTAGTTCCTCAAGTCAGCCCGAGACATGTTTACTCTGGTGCCCCTGAAAGCCTTTTTTTACACAGGCTTAAACCCTAAACTAAACCCTAAACCCTAAGCCCTAAACCCTGAACCCTAAATCGTAGGAACACTTCGCTCAGATCTGCTGAGGAGATGCTTGATTTGCGGGAAGAAAGGCGGCACCTGCAGAAAGTTCTCGACCACTTCCCCAGATTCAGGGTTTAGGGTTTAGGGTTTAGGGTGATCCTGAAGCTTTACTCACAGCTGGGACAGACACAAAGGAGAGGACATAACGAGACAGAGCAAGGAGCAGCAGGGGTACTATAGACTACCAATGCCCTGTCAAGGCTGCTGTAAAGGTCCTTGTACGGAAAATCATACCCTTCACGGCCCTTCGAAGGAAAAACGGAGGGAGCACGGGGAGCCCTTACCACCCCAATCACGCAGGTGCCTGGTTCTCTGTCGCAAACTTGAAGCCTGCAACATAGGCAACGGAAAAATCATGGAGGGGTAGGGAAAAAGCGTTAGAATAGGGCTGTCAAGGAACTGTACAAGGGCCTGAAGAAATGCGTGCGGGTCTTGGGGTATACTAGTACAGTATCACCATTTAAAGGCCAGAAGGAGATGTTATGTGTGTTGTCTATATCTCATTGATGGAGCCCCTTAAGCTACAGGGAAGGAGGGTACCTTGAACCCCACAAGATTCAGGGCCTGCTCCGACTGGAAGGTGAATTTAGGTGTTTGAGATGGGGGTTTGAAAGGTGCTTTTTCGGTTTGCCCTAGGGTTTCGACTCTCACTCTCGCACAAGGCAGGCAAGGCTTCGGGTTTAGGGTTTCGACTCACGCACTCGCAGATGCAGGCATGGCGATAAGTGTCCGGGTTTAGGGTTTAGGGTTTTTGACACTCACACTCGGACAAAGCGTTTAGGGTTTAGGGTTCACAGTTTCGGGTTGATGACTCGAGGCGAGGAAATGCGCCTTCGGTGACGGACACCAAGTCGACGACACGCTCGCACAAGCCTCCATCCGAGCGGGCAGGAAGCTGAGTTCCCAATACTCTGCACTTTGTTGTTGAAAACCTTCTAAACATCTGGAACCCCCCCGAACTTTAACCTCAAAGCCCTGACCCTAAAGCCCTCACACTACCCCTAATACAAGGGCCTTAATGATTAAAATAGGGTGTTGGGGCCTTTATGCTATACTTATAGTAAGGAACCCCCCAAAACCCTCTTCGAATTATCAAGGCCCCTATGTTATCTTCGTACTTAGCGCTGAATTGGGGAGGTCTCCATACCCGAGACTTCGAGGCTTCAGACTGGAGCCACTGAATCACGGCTCCGGTTCCGGCTTTGAGGCTTGCGGTTTAGGTTTAGGGTTTAGGGTTTAGGGTTTAGGGTTTAGGGTTTAGGGTTTAGGGCTTTTTTTCCCTCTCGCTTTGTTGAGAGGTTTGAGGTTTACACTCTCACAACTCGGACAAGCCAGGCTTGGATCCATGTGTGGTTTGGGGTTTAGGGTTGAGGCTTATACGGTTCAGGGTTGAAGCTTACGCACGGTTTACGTAGGTTCAGGATTTACCTTTCCAGTGTCTTCAGGCTACCCATAGGCCCCATAGTAGTTCCTTTTTGGGATTACCTTATAGGATTCTAAATATGAACCCCAAAAAAGGAACTACTCTGGGGCCCATGGGTATAGTGGGGATGCAAGTATTGAAAGCACGGCAGGACAGCTTTTGCAGCTGAAAGAACCTGGTGAAAAATTCGGACGTCAACCCTGGACATGGCAAAACTCGAACATCAGCAAGTCTCTTTTAGGTCCGGTTTAGGGTTTAGGGTTTGGGTTTTGAGTTTAGGGTTTAGGGTTTAGGTCCTAAGAGCCCCAATAAATCCTCAACTGGTAGGAACCCTTATAGAAAGCGTTATAGTAGCCCTTATAGTTCTCAAGCCCTCAGAAAGCTCCGAGACAGCCTTCAGTTGCCGACTTCTTCAGCTTCGTCAGCTCAGCTTTCAGCCAAACCTCTCTCGCAGGGCGTCGTTTCGCTATGCTTTGGCTTGTGTTTCTAAATTGGGGGTTTCCGAAAATAGGGGACCTTAATATTGTACCCTAAATAGTAGGATCCTTATTATAATGACCCCAAAATAGGGTACCCCTAATTTTCAGAAACTCCCAAATCGCCCCTGTGCTTCTCGCGCCCGGTCAGAAAGGGTGTGAGACCCAGGCTCTGGTTTAGGATTTAGGGGTTTAGGGGTTTAGGGTTTAGGGTTTGGTGTGTTCTAAAAAAGGGGCTCAGGGAGCTTTGCTGGGAGCCTCTATGCCGATAGCTGCGCCGGATCGGAGTTTTGGGGGCCGTGGAAGCGAGGGCTTGTTGAACGAGCTCTTGGGGCTCGTTTTAGGTCCTGGGAAGTCGTTTGGACGCGTTCAGCGCTGAGGCTTTTGCGGGGCTGCGGGATTTACCCCGTTCAGGACATCATGGGATCATCCGACATGAGATGTCTGATCGCTGTATATTCGAAGTTCTACAGACTGAGGCAGACTAGCCAAAGGACGAATTCAACAGATGTTAACACACCGTAGAGCACCCGGATCCGATCCCATAGAGGCCATAGCGCCGCTTACAGGGTCTGTCTTATCCTTGGCAACTCGACGTTTGGAAGTCACCCGCGTCCAGAACGACTCCGAACTATTGAGAGAACCCAGCACCATCAGAAACCCATCATCATCATCATCATCATCATCATCACCATCACCATCACCATCATCATCATCATGGTCACCAGAAAGACAGGTGAGACTGAAGAGCCGATATCATTCAAAAGCCAAACAGTCAGCATCGGATTAACCACCACAGCCAACAAAACTACCAGGTACCTTCCCAACACCTCCGCCTAGGGAACCCGGGTCGCTGATTCTCAGCTGAGCGTCGGAAAACCTCAGCTGCAACAGCTGCAATGACGCCGTGAAGATGTGGGGGTTTCAGAAAATAGGGGACCCTAACATAGTACTCTAAATAGTAGGATCCTAATTATAAGGACCCCAAAATAAGGTACCCTCATAAACTCCCATGTCAGACTGCTGGGTCGAATGGAGCCGAAGAGCACCCTGAAACGACTACCGGAGCCTCGATGCTTGAGTAGGGTTTAGGATTTAGGGTTACTACCGGGGCCTGGATGCTTGAGTAGGATTCTGGGCCAGCTATCAGACATGTTCTCCTGTTTTGAAAATCAGGAGCCCCCCCCCCCCAAAANNAAAAAAAAAAAAGTATTGCTAATTATCAACTCGGCCCATTACACACCCTAGAACCAGGTCGAAGTGACCTCCCAGCTCACCTCTAAAACCACTCGCAGAGCATCGCCCAAACTAGACATCGCAAGTCGTGGGTCCCTTATAGACCCTCCTGCCCTAAGACCCCCGAAACCCCCTCTCTGCTGCGCGGCTTAAGCCTTCGTTTAAGAGAGATATATAAGGGCCTCAATAATTACTCAT